AGTATGGGTAATGCTATAGACCACATCAAAAAGCTTAAATTGTGTATTTTTACACCAAATTTCCCAAAAGCAAAATCATACTATCCTTGAGCTGCCATTCACTTAGGGAGCGACACAAGTCTGCACACAGCACACAGTCCACCCTCTTGATGCTGCTCCTCTCTCCAAGTCTCAAGTTCAGTGTCTCCTGCCTCTCCTTCTACCGTGCTCTCCATCCTCAGCCTCTCTACCAAGAGTATCTGGCACCCTGAATTACTCTTATTTTGAAACGTGCTGGTGTGATGTGATAGAATTGCTTATTTATAGTGTAATGTATGCATATTAGCTCCATGCTAGGAGCATCCCATAACCTTGTTCTTAATGCCTATCATTGAACTTCCAGAATGGAAAATTTTGCTACCATCTTAATATAGTTTGTTAAAAAATAGCTAACATCCAATTTATAATTGTTATTTACCTTTCATTTGACATTGTATTCAGCAGTCTCAACTTTGCCTTGACAGCCTTTAGGGAGGATGTCATTCTAGTTAAGGATGGAAGGGGAGGTTGCATGAGGAAGAAGAGAGCAAAAGGAAAAAGTTTCAGGAAAGCAAATTGCCCCTCACTTCAAAAACTCCTTTTCTTGGGAAATGAGCCTATAGGCAGTATTGTTTTTTAAGTTCTAAACACAGACACACAAAATTTCAAGTTCTCCTTCAATGTATGGCACATGCGTCTCTCAATCCCATAGTGTGCACATGACTTCAGTGCGCCTGTGTAATCTAGAGCTCATGTTGGTTCAAGGCAGCTCGTGAAGGCTTTAGAACACCATGCCAGATTTGAAATCATTTGTAAGATCTGTATTGTTGAAGACAAGACTGGTTTCTGAGTAATGTTAACCATGGGAAAATAGTAGAAAACATTTAGAAATAAAAGGGTCCTTGGATCTGTCATTTATTTTAAACTGGAATAGCATTAAATTGCTGATCAACTAAAAAATGCTGTCATTCACTGTATCTGTTCCCTCTTTAATAGTCAAAAGGAAGGCCGAGGTGAGTGAATTGCCTGAGCCCGTGGGTTCAAGACTAGCCCAGGCAACTTGGCGAGACCTCGTCTCTACAATAAATTTTTAAAAATTATCCGGACATGATAGCGCGCGCTTGTAGCTCTGGCTACGTGAAAGACTGAGGTGGAAGGATCGCCGGAGCCCAGCAAGTCAACGCTGGGGCAGCTGTGAGCTTGCACTCCAACCTGGGCAACACAGTGAGACTCCAACTCAAAAAAAAAAAAGTCAAAAGGAGGTTCCAGAGCTGGGGAGAAAATCTTGATGCTAATTGAAACTCACGATTTATTCAACCTGGGTCTGATCTGCACAGCAACCAGAAGCTTCCATGGCCCAGCAGTTCCTAACAAATAGTTCAGGAACCCGTGTTCACCCTCGGCAATGACAAGCCTCAGGTGGTTTCAGCTGTCAAGTGTCTCTGATCCCCAAATTCTTACAAGGGAGCTTTGCAAAGCTCGTAGTCTCTCCTTCCTAATTTAATTTGACTGCTCTTGTGATAAAGAGGTAAGTACTTGGCTTCTTCCTAATGCCAGCATGAATTTCTGTATGACTCTGATCCTCCTTGGGGCTTAGTTAAGTCCTGGAGGTCACAAAGGAGTTGCATCCTGGGGGTCTCTCTGGCCCGCTGCTCCACCCAGCCCCCTCCCACCTGCTTTCTTTCCTCCTGGGTGAGCCGCAGCATCGCAGCATGGAGGCCCCTCACTCCTCCTTCCCAACTACTCCCAGGATAGTCTACCAGACTCTTCTCCTGGAACCCCCTGCAGAGCCAGACAGAGCTTCCTCAACCTCTCCTCCTCCCTGCTGCCACCAAAACAAACACAAATTAGGAAAAGGACAAAGGAGTTTTAGTTATAGAAAGGTCAAGAGTTTTAAAAATTACCAGTATTGGAAAAATAGCACGGTTGCTAAAGAATCTCAGAACCTACCAGCAGTGGTTCTCAGAACATGACCTCATTTATATTTCAATGGAGACCTGAGTCAACCACTTTGAATATTTTCCAAACATTCTTATTAATCTTTTGTGTAGTTGGAGGTCCTGCAAGTACCTTCTCCGATACTAGCCTGTGCTTAGCTCTTGGGGAGTCCAGGCCCAATCCTTGACCCCCCCCTCCTTTTTTTTTATTTGAATTAGAGTCTCACTCCTTGTCACCCAGGCTGGAGTGCAGTGGCACGCTAACGGCTACCACAGTCTCGACCTGCTGGGCTCAGGCGATCCTTCCGCCTCAGGTTTCCAAGTTGCTGGAACTACAGATGCACGCCACCACACCCAGCTAGTTTTTGTGATTTATTGTAGTGACGAGGTCTCACCAAGTTGCCCTGGCTGGTCTCAAGCCCCCGGGCTCAGGCAGTCCTCTCACCTCAGCCTCCCAAAGTGGGGATTCCAGGCAGACCCTTTAACAAAGGAGTCACTTTTCTTTCTCCCTTGGACTTCAGGCTACTTATTCTGACCTTCAATTTGCCCCCTTGGTCCACCAAAACACTTCCTGATTGAGGTCTTAGAGATCTGTCCCTACTGCCCCTCCCACACTAAGGCTCCCGCTTAAGGCCACTGTTCCTCTGGCACAGAGCAGGATGCTGGGCTTTTTGTACTAGATTAAAATCGGCCCAGTGAGGCAGGACAGCATAATGACGACAAGCCAAGCTCTGTCTTTGCGGTGTGATAAGGGGCAGGGAGGGCAAACAGCTTGATCTCAGCAATCTTCAGTTTCCTCAGCTGCAAAATGGGATACTAATAATACTTTATCGTGTTATTGTGAGGATGAAATGAGGCAGTGATTATCAAGTCCCAGGATATTCCTGGGGTATAGCTATTGCTCAATAAAGATTGGCTATTATAATTGTTATTGATGTCTGTATTTTTATCATTACACTCACTGATTTTGTATCCTTTTTTTAATAACATCTAGACCGCCTATAGACTGCCTCCTCTTGTCATGGACCATGCGAGGCATTGGGGATCCAAGGGTAAGTAACTGTCTCTGCCTTCAAGAAACTTGCAGGGTGGTAAAGGCAACAAGTACCAAAACTTACAGAGCAACGGAGCCTAGTCTTGTAATGGGAACTCACATGGGGTCCTTTAGGAATGTTGAACAAGAAGCACCTGACTCCAGCCAAGGGCAAGAGCAGGGGAGGTTGTGCAGAGAAAGCTCCTGGAGGAGCTGATGAGAGCTAAGCTGGAAAGGCCCAGAAGGGAATCTTCACAGGGGACCTAGCCGAGGCACTCCTGCCACGGAGATCAGATTTCACTCTCATGTAATCAGCAGATCGAGTCTCCTTAGTGGTCATGTGAACTTAGTAGGAAAAATGCCTTCTGGAGCCTGCTTCTATGCTGTCACCTCTCAGTTCCAAGCCGTACCTCCAGGTAAGCTTTCCTTCTCGATGCTGTGATCCCATGCTTAACCCAAAGTACGTGTTCACAGTGTGACTCACACTGGTTGAGTGTTTTCTATGTGCCTGGCACAACCCAGGCCTTTACAGACATCATCTCACGGATCTCCCTCCAACCCTGTGTGTGGTCATCTTGTCTGCGTGTCAAATCCTGGCTCCAAGAGTTTCCAGTTTTGCAACCTTGAGCAAGTCAAGGAGCCCCACTGTGCCTGTGCTGCTTCATCTTCCAGTGGGTATGCTTGTCCCACCTCACAGGTTGATGGGAGGATGACATGAGTTGATACATGCAAAGCCCTTGGTGCAGTCGCTGATGAATGGTAAGAACTCACTAACTGCTACCACTGTGCCACTGCAAGTTCCTGTAAGTTTGTGACCCATTTGTGGAATAGTAGACTGAAGAGGCTGTTCACCAAAATTCATTTCCTCTTCTTCCTGGGCATATAACTAATCTGCATTCCCTGCCTCCCTGGAAGTAGGTAAGGCCAAGTGCCTCATACAGTGATACTATATACAACTACTATGAGCCCTTCTCAATGGAGAGTTGATTCTGTGGTGAAATGTGAGAGATATTATTGTGAACTACCCAACACATTTCACTTCCTCCTCCTCTTCTCCACAAGAAAGCCTGTCTTGTTTTCAGGAAATCTACAATGTGACTTGATGTGGCTTAACGCCACCTCCACCAAATTGGCAGGCAGTCCACACAGGGTCCAGGCTTCACGCCCTTGGCCATTGGGATGGGTTCCGGGGTAGTCACTGGACCCAAGAAAGGTTACTCAGTCACTGCCACAACTCATGCCCAAGCTTTCAGGAGACAAGGCATCTCTCTATTTTGGTGTGGTTGCTGGCTTTAGAGCATGGAGGTTGTTTCGGCTCCTCTGGTCATGAAAAAAGTTTGCCAAAGAAAGAAGCCAACACTGGGAAAAGCAGAGCTGACATGGAAGGAAGAGCATTTCCTGATGACACACTTGAACTCCTGCCTTCATTAATGTTAGATTCACCTTTCCCAATTACCTTGGCCAATAAATCTTTTTTTTGGTTTAAGCTGATTAAAGCTAGTTTTCCCAGTACTTGGAACTGCAAGTTACCAATTTACCGGCTTTGCCTGTTGCCCCCAGGTCCCCTGGGCCTCTGACTCAGCCCCACTTCCTCTCTCCCCACCACCTGTCCTAGAGCCGGCTCGAAATCCCATCTTCACATTATATAAAATATTAAAATTCCTTAAATAATCACTGATGGCAACAGGCATGACTTCCATGGAGGGAAGAAGAGCATTAGTCACTCACATATGGTCTCAAGGGAAAATATTCATAGGAAGGGAGCCTTGCTCTAGATGCTAGAAAAAACAAGTTCCCATGATGAACTCAATAGAACTACCCATTTTGTTTTCATTGACTGAACTTTTGTCTTACTTAAGATTTCTCAAAGTAAGTGGTGAATTGGGGGATTTTGGAAACATTTGCAGTTTTTCTTCGTAATATGTTTCCTTGTAATGGAATCTGATTAACAAAACTTCTATATGCTTTTCATTTAAAACCATGTAGTTGCAACCCCAGAGATTTGCAAAATCAGGAAAACCATATAAATTGGTGAGCCGGTCGCGGTGGCTTACGCCAATAATCCCAGCACGTTGGGAGACCAAAGTGAGTGGATTGCCTGAGCCCACAGGTTCGAGACCAGCCTGGGCAACTTGGTGAGACCTCATCTCTACAATACATTAAAAAAAAAAAAAAAAGAAAATTAGCTGGGCATAGTGGCATGTGCCTGTACTTGGAAGGCTGAGGTGGAAGGATTGCCTGAGCCCAGCAGGTCGAGGCTGCGGTGGCCTTGAGTGTGCCACTGCACTTCAGCCTGGGTGACAGAGTGAGACTCCAACTCAAAATATATATATATATATATAAATGTTACCATTAGTTCTACTGACTATCATCCCAGCCTCTTTTTATCAAGTGCAGTATATTCCCTAATATTTGATGGAATATTTCTAAATATTTCTATGTAACCCACTTGTGTCTCAAACACTGTAAGGTATTATTAGACTTTTATTTTTGAATTTTATTTGGAAGTTTTTACCAAAATAGAGAATTTTTACCAAAATAGAAAATTCTCAAAAGCTGCTGAACTTGTGGCTGTCATTTTCTTTCATTCTGATGAAAACCAGCCTAGCCATTTGTCACAGGCTTGCTTTCCCCGTATTCATGTCCAGGCTTTGAGTTCATTATCCCTGTGAAATCCCACTAAGGAGAAAAGACTTTACTAGTCTTGAGCTGTACCTCCCTTCACTCTCCCTTGCTCTGTACACCCCAACTCCTCCAAAATCAAGTGCCAGGAGACATAATCTCCATAAAGAATCTTTAAGAATAGTTTTGTTTGTTTTAATCTTTTTCATGTTGGGGGAGGAGTTGTTTGAGAGGCACAGAATTTCTGTCAGGGATGATGAAAAGTTCTAGAAATAGATAGTTGGTGATGATGACACAACATTATAAATGTAGCTAATGCCAAGGAATTGACTACTTGAAGATGGTCAAAATGGTAATTTTTATGTGTATTTTGACACAGTGAAAAAATCCTGTTCCTGCTTCCTGTCTTGTTTATTTATATGAATTACTGGATATAGTTGCATTGCTCCTGTGGGTAGCAGCAACTGAGAAGAATGAAGAAGTCGGAAAGGGTAAAGCAATTTTGTCCCCTAAAATAGTGCAGGATAAAACAAAGCACACACACCACTTGCCAACAACTGTCTTTGGGAAGCAGCTCTGTTCGCTCATGCGCAGAAAAGAATCAGGCAGCAGTGGTGTTGACAGGAACAAGATGAATGACCCCCTGGAGCCCATAGGGTTTATATTCGAGTTTCCACCACCTTTTCATCCTTTTGTCCCCCTTCTTGATTCACATGCAGATTAACCCAGACCAACTCTTCTCTAAATACCCTTTTCACTCGGTCTTGGAAGGTACAAGGCACATCTAAATATGCATGAGGCTTTTTCTCCGGGGTTTCTGATGTGCTCTTGTTGGACGTTGAGGAATTAACGTTAATGAATGCGTGCCTGCACACACCGACAGAGAAACCAGGCAGAGGACACACACACGCACGCACACACAGCGCTTTGTCAGCGCCGCTGGGCACTCCCCAAACAGTTCCCATGAAAAGGAAGAAAGGAGAGGAGGAGGAAGAGAGATTTAAAATCTGTTGCCAGGGGAGAAATAAATGGTACAGAGCCACACAAAAGAAAGAACAAAGTTTCATCTTTTGCTTTCTGGAGTTGCAAATGTAACTGTTGTTTGGAGTCAGCATGAATGGGAAACAAGACATGGTCAATGAAAAAACGAAAACTGACTCCCGGACTCGCTGGAAGAAATAAAATTGAGGACAGAGTTTCAATATTGGAAATAAATAGTTTATTTAAAAACAAGGAACTCGTTAAACCTTCTTAAAGCAGGACTTTCTCCGTGTTCCTTCCAGATAGAGCACCGGGGTATGGATCCCTAAAAATATGATCAGGACTTTGATGGCACTGCCCATATGCAGTGTTTGCTTTCCTCTGTCTTTTCCTGGGCTTTTAGATACTGTTTTCGTTAGACAAGCAGAAAGTAAATTTAGCCTATATGTGTTTGCATGAAATTATATCTAGTTATGACTTAGAGTGTAAATCATCTTTAATTATAGGTAATCTTTATGATATTTTAACAGATAGGGTAATATATTAGCACGATGGAACTGAAGTGCAGACATATTAATGGCCTTAATATCACACTGCCAGCAACAGTCATCTTTGCAACCTTTAATCATCTCCGTAGCCTTTCTTTCTGTTCAGTGAACATTGAGAGCCCGAGCAGCTGGGCAGGCCCTGCTCAGGAAGGGCCTGGAGGATCCGTCATTACCTTCATATTTGTGCATCAGGACAGTAGGTTGAAAAATATATTTTTTCTGTTTTTTTTAAATATTACCCCTCAACTAATTTTTATTTTTATTTACTGGTCTTAGTACACTAAAAGACTAAGGCTTTATTTGTCATTTTTGAATATTCATTCTGGATTCAGGAAATAATTAACCTGACTCTCTTTATCCATCTTCACAGGGTAAAAAAATGTTGGGAAATCCTACCTCAGGCTCCACCATGGCCCAGACTGCGTCTCTAGCTGAAGGGATACAAATCCCAATAAATCTCCAACTTCCCTTAAGCATACAGAAGGCTTCCCTACACGTTTTTGTGACAAACTGAAAATTGGTTGATAATATGAGTATTTCTTTCACATGAGAATAAGATGCAGAACAGACTCTCGCATATTCTACCACCCCAGTCCCCTACCCCATTCTGGTTGCTTGATTCTTAAAGTCTGGATAAATAACTGACTTTAGTCTATTAATTTAACTATTATCATCTAAGCTTTACGTACTCTTAGCTTACAACCAAGTGTCTTTAAATCTGTTTTTTCAATAAAAACTAAGGCAAAAAGTTCACACAGAAATTTGTAACGACCTTTTTCATCTGATGCGCTGGCTGGGAATTGTACTCACTCAGCATTATTCCCCAGTCATTTATTACTTTGTCTGAATGAATAGATATCTGGCTGTATCTAAGTTTAAAGAAGACTGTATGTAGAATTTTCTTTAATGAAAAATTTAGTGAAAGGGCTAAAAAAATTGTTCCAAATTTTCTCCAGGAGTTGGGGGGAATGCATTGCTTGGAAGGTATCTCAGAAAAGCATTTTATAGAAAACTCTAGAAATCAGTATGGGTATTCAGTAAATATTTTTAAAGGAATGTTACATGGCTTTGATTAAATATACTAAATGCACACATACATTTAGTCATTATTTTATGCCTAAATAAATATGTGTACATAAACAGCACTGTTACTTCCATTGTTGGTATATCACTAAAGCTCACCTGTGTCCACACTTCAAGCAACCCAAGGCTCTGATGGAGGCATCGCTGCCATGTGTAAAAGAACCACCGACATCCCTCATGAGGTCTAGACCAAGACTGGCATCCTACAGTCTGACACAAAACAGTGAAGCTAGCCTTTACATTGGTCACCACAAAAGGCATGATCTGCGTGGAGTACGTTGAGGGTCTCCAAGAAAGATTTCTCTTGATTAAAAATGTGTTCCTCACCAGTGGACTTTACTTCTTAAAATTTCTATTAGTTATCAGCCTTAAGTATATCTAATAATTTTTTTTTTTCTGGAGGATATCATTATGGATTGTTAACCCCTGAATGAAATTAGTGTGCTGAGCAGGAGGAAGAATGGGGGGGCTGTATTTTTTTAAACACAGAATATACAAAGAGAGGAAAAGTTCAGGTCCTTGCAACAGTGTCCTGTAGAGGAAAATATTAGAATGTACTAGAATGGGTTCCCTGAAAGCCAAGATACAGTGGAAATTTGGGCATAGGGGAGGAGAACACAAGAGAGCTGTCTAGCAAGGCAGAGGGAGCTGAGGACAAACTTTGGACCATGTAGAAGTTTGTCCAAGAAAACAAAACTAATATTAAAACTATTTTTTATCTATACAATTGAAAAGTATGTATGTGCGTGTGTGTGTGTGTGTGTGTGTGTGTGTGTGTGTGTATACACACACATTTGATATTATCCCTCAACTAATTTTTTTTTAAGAAAGCAGGATTTATTGAGAAGACAGAAAAGCTCTCACAGTGGAAGACCCAAAGGGTTGCCCGAAAAGTATATTTTAATTATATTATCTACTGTTAACAAATCAAGGAAACAGTCATTCTCATACACTGATGGTAATACTATAAATTGATAGAAGATTATACAAGGTAATTTGATGATAGATATCAAAATATTTAGGTTATATATGCTTTAGGGCTATAATTTCATTTCTGGGAATTTATTTTGTATAAATAATTATGAATGGGAAAAGATACAGCAATATTATTTCAATGGAAAAAATTTAGAAGGCCGGGCGCAGTGGCTCAGCCTGTAATCCTGGCACTTTGGGAGGCTCAGGCAAGAGTATTGCCTAAGCCAGGGGTTCAGGACCAGCCTGGGCAACTTGGTGAGACCTCGTCTCTACAATAAGTCACAAAAACTAGCCGGGTGTGGTGGCGTGCATCTGTAGTTACGGCTACTTGGAAGGCTGAGACTGAAGGATCGCCTAAGCCCTGCAGGTCGAGGCAGCGATGGCTGTGAGCATGCCACTGCATTCTAGCCTGGGTAACAAGAGTGGGACTCTAACTCCAAAAAAAAGGAAAAAAAAAATTTAGAAAACATTTATTATCATTGTTGCTTATTTTACTTTATAATATTTTTCTTTGCCATAATTTTTATAATAAACATGAATAAAGTATGCAATAAGAAATCAGCAATAGTATTGTTAAGAAAAAAAGTTTGTCCACAGTCAGTGCACTCCTTTGGTGTCTATTGATTTAGAGTGTTTTTTCGAGGAACTTCATGGAAGCCACTCCAGTGTCACAGAAATAGGTCCAGGGCTGTAGGTAAATTCTATAGGTAAATACTCTTAAGACAGTGCCTCCCTCCTGACATCAAAACAAAACATGAAAAATTTTAATGAAATAATCATGCTTTGTATGTACACAAAATTTGAACGTTTTAATAAATTCAAATATGTATTTCTGAAACCAGTATACAAATGATTTCTCATTTGCTTTTTTAAAATACAACTAAATACACACAAAATATTGGCAACACTTAGCATTTCCACTCTTTCAACTTGGAGACCTCTTTTATCTAACTTCTCTTTTTTCTAGTGCAGCGTCATTACCATGGAGTTTCATGCAAACAGAAAAGTTTTGCAGAACCTCATCTTTCCTCAAACCTGAACCTATCCAACTTTGTATTACAACAGCAAGGAATAAATAAAAGTAACTGAAGTCTTAACTCAGAACTGAAATATTTTAAATGACAGTTCTGCATTGTCTCTTTTCTCACAAAGGTTTATCTCATGATTTTTTTCTCAAACATTTTCAAATATATGATCCCTGAATCCTTCTCCCAACTCATTGTAAAGTATAAAAATACTGCCTGTTTCAGAATGTTTACACATCATCATTCTCAAACATGATAGAAACTGGCAGACCAACCCCCAGCAGTTTCCATGGAGACACTGGGAGTGGTGGTTACGCATTGTGCTATTTCTCCAGCCTAAAACAGTTATTGCCCTAGACTGAGACATATGTTTCACAGCTGAGCCTGAATCCAAATTGAATTTAAAAGTTAACTGGCTAAATGCCAAATTCAAAACTACCCTGACCTGTCTTCCTCTGTTCTCTGACAGTGTGTACACGTACAAACTTGTCTGAAAAGAGCTGGTTTGTAAACGGGGGTAACTATCCAAGAAGTATTTCCACAATGAAATAATCATTTCATTTTGTCCATGTTGACAAACAGTCAATTCAGTGTGGGGGACGGGAGGAAAAGAAACATTTTCTTTTAAAATTTTTTGATTATTTGATTTAATTGCATGATTTATCTTGGTTAATGGATTAGCTGGCTATATAGTTGAATCTTATTTCTGAATTTTCATGATCTAAGGAAGAATTCATATTGGGCAATTTTTTAAGTTATGATCATTTTACTGTGATGAATATTTAAGCATATGGTCAAATGCAGAAAATATGGGAGTCATGAATACTTCCAATGGGAAGGCCCATAGAGTTTGTTTTGGCTAGATGCTATGGAAGAGCCTTGGGCTTCCGTGTTCCCTTTTCTGATCGCACAATCTCAGCCCTGTGTGTTGGACTTCCTAAAACAACAACAAAAATGCAACTTGAAAACCACTGGTCCATTCTAGGCTTGACACATTTCACCCCTGTACAGTATTGCACAAAGACATGCAAACCAGCACAGATCACATGTAGAGCCTGCTGACCTTGGCTACTTGCCTTCAAGGAGCATTCATGTCTTTAAAGACTTGCTTTGTGGCAGCTGTTGTTCTGCCATGTTGGTATCTGCAATTGATTTTTCCTGTAAATAACCGAGTGCCAGTTCTTGGCTTTTCTTAAATTGTTAAAACCCATTAATATAAAGGGGAAAATTATTAATAAGACTTATATAACCCCCAGTTTAAGCATAATTTATCTAAGAAATCATTGAGTTTTCTTAAACTATGTGAATGGAATTTGTTTGCACAAGTGTATTCCACCAAAGGCTTCTAAACTGTGAACTAATTACATGATCTAATTTTGGAGCTTTCCCGGAGTTAATCTCTGAATTAGTTATCTTTTGCTTTCTTTTATGTGTCATCTTGCCATTTCACATTTCATTGAGTATCAAAACCAAGAGAGAAAAAGTACAAGCTATTTATATTTTATCAAGTCTCAAGATAATGCAAAATATTGTATACCAGTTAGAGCTGCAGAAGAGTTAGATAATTTCTACACCAATATTTTGGCAAGATAGAAAAAAGCAAATAATTATGGTCAGCAATATCTTAAAACACTTTTTTTTTTTGAGTTGGAGTCTCACTCCGTCGCCCAGACTGGAGTGCAGTGGCCGCTCCCGGCCACCACAGCCTCGACCTGCTGGGCTCCGGAGATCCTTCCGCCTCAGCCTTCTGAGTAGCCGGAACTACAGACACGCGCTACCACACACGGCTGATTTTTTGATTTATTGTAGAGATGAGGTCTCACCAACTTACCCAGGCAAGTCTCGAACCCGCCGGCTCAGGCAATCCACTCACCTCAGCCTCCCAAAGCGCTGAGATTACAGGCTGAGCCACCGAGCCCGACTTTAAAACACTTTTTAAAAGAAGGCTAGTGATGGCACTGATTTTGATTTTCATTTTTCATCTAAATGAACCTCTGTGCTCACATGTGTCTATGTGTGTATACACAGATCTATACTGAGGCGTGGTTAGAAAGAGCATTGGATGTTGTGTCATCAGACAAGGGTTCAAGCAGTTTCTGCACCTGCTGATCCACTGCAGGGAAGTCACTTAACTTCTCTGAACCTTAGTTTACGCACCTAAAATTAGAACTAACAATGCTTGTTCAATCTGTTCCAAGGGCTTGTCATAAAAATCAAAGGAGGTAATAGATGTTAAGCTTTATTAATTATATGTATGGGATCTTAATGACATGTACTAATAATAACATAATTATACAAAAGGGGGATGCCCCCCAACATGGAATTATCTTGTGGAGGGTAAGCACCTTGTAGTACTCTTGGATCAAAACAGTCAACCAACATCTTTATATGATTATTTTAAGAAGGTTACTTCATGATTTGCGGAAGAAACACCCTGAGTTGTGGCAAACAGGTGACTGGTTCTTCCACCATGATAGTATACTTGTCCACACTGCACTGAGTATCAGCAGTTTTTGATCAGAAATGACATGACCCTGGTGCCCCAACCCTCCCTATTCACCCAGTCTTGCCCTGAGCAACTTTTTTTTGTTCCCCAAATGAAAAAGTCCTCAAAGGGAAACATTTTGACGATGTGGAAGAGGTGAAGCAAGAAGCAGCAGAAGCACTAAAAGGCATGA